CAATAAAAGAACCTTTAAATCAACAATTATAGAGAACTTCACAAAATTTTTCATGAATCAAATAGGTACATTTAAATTATAATTATACATTTATATCAAGCATTAACAGAAAAATATAATACAATAAAGGAATATTTAGTTACAGGAAAGTATCCTATATTTCTTAAAAACCATCCAGGGAAAAAAAGTAATTATAAATGCATGGCAAGCAAATTTATTGTTAAAGATGATGTTCTTTACAGAAAAATAAAGAATAAAGAAAGTAAATATGATTACAAAATAATCATTTTCTATTTATTTTTTAGCTTTAGTAATAATGGAAGAAGAAGAGAAACAAAGAGTAATATCTATTATTCACCAAGGATCAGATATATCCTTAGAGTCTAAAGCTATTGGTGCCCACCTAGGTATTAATAAAACTCAACTTAAACTCTCTGAAAGGTACTTATTATGATGTTAGAATTCTTAATTTTGTGTTTATAGATATTGGTGGCCAAAATTATTTCAAGACACTATTGATTTTATAAAATCATGTGATAGATGTCAGAAGGCTAATGTAAGATTTACCAAAATTTCTTCCACTTTGCATCCAATAGATGTACCACCTTTTCCATGGGCTCAAATAGGAATTGATCTTTGCAGCCTGCCCACTTCAGAAGAAGGCTACACGTGTATTGCCGTTGCCTCTGATTATTTCACAAAATGGGTTGAGGCAGAACCCATGAAATCCAAAACAGCCAATGAGACATGTAAATTTATATACGGTCTGATTTGCCGCCATGGCTGCGCAAATGTAAATCAAATTATATAAATATATATCGATTAAAAAATATGAATTTATGATAATTCTATCTTATAAACTTTTCATTTTATACAATATAGATACAAATCAATGATCAAGGAAGAGAGTTTGTAAATGAGATGGCTACTAGACTGCATAAAATGACCGGGACAGAGCAACGCATTTGCAGTGCGTACCATCCTCAAGCTAATGGCTTAACTGAGAGAAATAATCGCACTATTCAAAACCTAATGTTAAAGGTTTTAGGAAATGATCAGACCCAGTGGCCTAAAGTTCTTCCAGGTGTACTGTTTGCAATGAGAACAAGTGTACACAAATCAACAGGATTTACCCCATTTTATATGTTATATGGTCGGAATGCAAAGCTTCCATCAGACTTAAATTCCACAACTAAGCCTGATATTGTTAAGGAAATAAATAATGATCCTGAAAACTCTTATGTAAATAATATTGATAATGACTTTGACGAGAGTGAATTGTTAAATAGAATAATGAGCATGTCAGTCATATGGAAAAAGGCGAAAGAAAATATAATTGTTGCCCAAGATAGACAAAAAAGAGATTATCAAAAAAGGCAAAAGGATAAAATATCGTATGAAGTTGGACAACTGGTCCTAATCTGGAACTCCCGTCGTGCGGATCGAAAGGGTGGAAAATGTCTGATCCTTGGCTTGGTCTATATGTAATTGATAAAATACATGATAAAGATATTTATAGTGTGAGTAATAAAGATAATACTCCATTAAAGCAAAAATATAACGGGTGTAACCTTAAGCCCTACATCCAACAATCTAATAACGGAGATGAGGCAAAAGAAGATTCTACCGATATTAAGATAATATTATATAAGGAGCCTGATACTTCTCCGTTACCTTACCTTGCCACCAATTATGCATGGAAGAAATATCATGCTAAGAGGTTGGGCATCCCATATTCTTTATTAACAGAAAGCAATGATAAAACTAAAAATTTAAGTTATCCTCCTAATTTTGAGATAGTTCTTGGTGACGGTAATTGTTTTTATCGGTGCTTAAGCAAAGAAATCTCAGGGAGTGAAGATCACCATGCAATTATAAGGGGGTCTATTACCTCTTATATGATGCATTTTGAAAATAAAGATATTTTTAGTGATTTTATTGGAAAAGATATAATCACACATATAGTTGATACAAAAAAATATCAACTTGGAACGTGGGCAGATGAATTAGATATTGTAGCATCTGCCACATTTTTTCAAACACCTATCATTATATATTGCAAAAATGGAAATGAGATGAAATACATTACATACTCCTCATTATTAAAAAATAACTGTATAAAAAATTTCAATTTAAATATATATTTAATAAATGCGACTTCTGATCATTTTAATCGTGTTATAATATAATATATACTCAATTTGTAATAATCATGTTTCCGTTATTGGGATATATTTTCTTTTTTTAATATTTTTCTAGTATTTTTGAAATAAAATGATATATCCTTTTTATTTATATAGTATTAAGAAATCAGTCTTTTATAAAATAAAAAATATATATACAACTAAAAATAGTTATTACAGTTTAAAAGAATAATATAAAACATAATTTGATTTTATAAAATATTTTGTGTTCCATAAATATAAATGTAATTTTAATCAGATAGAAATAAAATTATATATGCATCTAAAAAATGAAATGACGATTAAGAAGCCAACAGGAAATGATTAAAACATATTTCAGTAATAGATATTTATTGAGATGCTTTGACTTAATTTAGCTTTTGTCTATTAAAATTTTAAGGTTTGAGATAGGGATGAAGATTTTAAGATGCGCCAACAGGCAATGATCGCATAATAATAGTGATAGAGATAATGATTGAGATCCTTTGTTATAATAGAAACCCTCATATCTGTGATTAGCTTAAGCTTGTTTATTAAAATTTTAAGGCTTGATCCCAATAATAAGATGGTAAATGAAGAAAATTTGTGTACATTGTTCTTAATTACAATTTTCTACAGGATGGAGTTGAACAAACAATATCATTTTAACCATAAGGAGAAAATTAATAAATATGAGTAAAAAAATAAAAATATACAGGATATAAAGAATAGTAAAATATAAATTCCTTAAAAAAATTATATAAAAGAATAGAAAATCATTTAAATATATTTTAACTATTAAATATATAAAATAGATTTTTTACAAATCTAAAATGACCGTCAATATTTTTGACGCGATTAAAAAATAAATATTTTACAATATGACAATTGTCACTTTTGGTACATCTTCACTGAAATTAATTTAACATGTTTACAATATATATTTTAATCTATGTAATTCAAAAAATTTCAAAAAAGTTAAATCTATTTAAAATAAATATTTTACAAATCGAAAATGGCCGCCAATATTTTTGAAGCGATGAAAAGAATATATTATAATAAATATTTTACAATTTTAATGGCCGCCAACATATTTGAAGCGAAAATTAAATGTATAATAATAAATATTTTACAATTTTAATGGCCGCCAACATATTTGAAGCGATAATTAAATGTATAATAATAAATATTTTACAATTTTAATGGCCGCCAATATATTTGAAGCGATGATTACGTATTTTAAAACCAATACGGTATTGATTCTACAATATTGTAAAAACAATACGGTATTGAATCTACAATGATAATATTAATACGGTATTGAAACTACAATGGGTATTGCTTTCACAATCCTACACCGGTGTAACGTGATATTTTAACTTAAATTTAAATTAACTCCCTTTAGTAATACTGACATTTAAGATTGACGTTATAATATATTTTAATAAAATATCATTTTTAACTTAAATTTAAATTAACTCCCTTTAGTGATACTGACATTAAGATTGACGTTATAATATATTTTAATAAAATATCATTATAAAATTTAGTAATACTGACATTTATGACTGACGTATAATGGTAAAAGCTTCTATTATTTAGTAATACTGACATTTATGACTGACATGTAATGTTAAAAGTTTATATTATTTAGTAATACTGACATTTATGACTGACATGTAATGTTAAAAGTTCCTATTATTTAGTAATACTGGCATTTATGACTGGCATGTAATGTTAAAAGTTTCTATTATATAGTAATACTGGCATTTATAACTGACATGTAATGTTAAAAGTTTATATTATTTAGTAATACTGGCATTTATGACTGGCATGTAATGTTAAAAGTTTCTATTATATAGTAATACTGGCATTTATGACTGGCATGTAATGTTAAAAGTTTCTATTATTTAGTAATACTGACATTTTTACTGCTTAAAATTTATATATAGCAATATTGACACTTATGATCGACTGATGATGCTTAAAGTTTGTATTTGCAATATTGACACTTATGACTGACAGGTACTGCCTAAAATTTATATATAGCAATATTGACACTTATGACCGACAGATGATGCTTAAAGTTTGTATTTTTTCCAATATTGACACTTATGAGTGAGATAATTAAAATTTATAAGATAGATTATAATTTCTAATATTTAGTAATATTAACATCTAACTTTCAACCTTTTTAAATTTCTTATGCCTATAAATAATTTAACGCCGAAAACGTTATAGCTTAATTTAAAAAAGGTTTGATCAAAATTTATATACACATGGTAGGTTAAATTTATTCATATTTAAACATAAATTACATATCATTCATGTAATGATTCACTATCGTGACTTTATATAAAAATAATTAATTATAAAATGCTATATTGTATAAATTCGCAATTGAATAGAATTGAACTCATAAAAAAGATGCCAACCTATTGTACCTTTTATAAAATTAACTATTAATAAAAAATATAAAGTGCAATAATATTTAATAAAAAAATGCTTACCGATTATACTTTCAACTAAATTGCGATAAATATAATGAAATAAAAGTATAAGAATAAATATTAATTACATTGATAAAAAGGATGCCAACCTATTGTACCTTTTATTAAAATAACTATTAATAAAAAATATAAAGTGCAATAACATTTAATAAAAAAATGCTTACCGATTATACTTTCAACTAAATTGCAATAAATATATGGAATAAAAATATTAGAATAAATATTAATTACATTGATATAATTCTAACAAAATGATTGTTATTTTCATTACATAAATATATATTTTCTTTAAAAATTTAAATATTATTAAAAAATTTCATGGGTGAATAATAAGCCCACTTATATTGGGTATAAATTAATATATTTGTCTGCAACAATGTGGCCATAGATAATATTTCCACCTCTGTTGCCCAGACACTATTTCCTATAACATTTCTGTCAATTAGGTATTCTTCTACAGGATATCCTATGAATTTTTCCATTTCCAATTTGAAATCGTTGCTCCTCATAAAGGCAACGCATTTCTCCCTCAGGTATATAATTATCCTGATTATTTAATATTTCTTGACTTATACACCTATAAACATGTTAAATAATTAAATATTATATAAAGTAACTAACCTAAAAAAAACAGTTTCCATCACCCACAATATGATCGGTTGTGAATATTTCCTTTAATATACCACTTTCGATCTTGGGATAAAGGCCAATTACTTTGAAATTGAACCGTTTAGAGTGGTATACTTTCCAATTCCTAGTTGTGGGCAAAAAAACCTCACCAATTTTCTTTGGTATTATTGTATCAACAATAATTTCGTCATCTAAATTTGATAATTAAATAATAACATATTTTTAAAATATATTACCTTTACCCTGATCTTGTATGCCTACATATCCTCCCTCTCTTACTATACTTTTATAAGCTTTTGTTGGATCTTCACCAAATGTATCTGCATATAAAAAAATAATTAAATAATTTTATATATTATACCCTTTCTCTTGACATGGTTTATGTTGGTGTCCTCCTTTCCAATTTCCAACCCTAGGATTTTAGCTTCATCAAAAATAAAAATTTTTCAATTTTTTAAAAATAAAACTTTCTTCTGCAACATTTATTTCACAGGACATCTCTTCAAATAGTGTTTCTTCTAATGGAAATATAATAATTAAAAATATATTTTCCTTTTTTCCAAATGCATTTGATTACCTTCTCCTTCTCCAACTATAGTTTTAAGAAGACAAACTTAATTATTTGTTTAATATTATTTTTATGAATTAACTGTATATATTACCTTGATCTTGAACACCTACTATAGTTTCACAATGTACCATATTATTAGGTTTTTTAACTGTTTCTTTACCATTAAAAAAGTTATATTTGTATATTTAAAAAATACCTTTGTTCCCCTCGATATAGTGTTTTAAATTACTGAGGTTAGTCTTTATACGTAAAATTTTTCCTGTTAAATTCAACATTGCCTAAATATGTATAAATATTTTGTTAAAAATTAGGATTTTACTATTAACAATTTAAACAATTGTATATGGGCCTACCCAAGGCTGCAACATTTTCCCTCCTTTCCTGTCAGCTCGACGATTATTCCATACAAGCACTTTATAATTTATGTGATAAAGTGCATTCTTAGCAGCATTACGAGTTTTATAATCTCGTTGCTGCTTAAGCTGAGCCTTTGCAATATTTTTTGTTGCAGTCTTGAATATGACTTCCATATTGTCAGCTGTACTCTTGTAATTGCTTTAATAATCATTGTCAGATAGATCATCAAGATCTGTATCTGGTTCTCTATCATCCTTAAATAATAAAAATAAATATTTATTATGTAAATTAATTTTATACAAATAGTGATATATATCATACCTCACAGGGCAGTAGAGCTTTTCTGCCATACATCATCTCATATGGCGTGAATTTTGAGGATTCATGCGTTGATGTATTGTAGGCAAATACAATACCAGGGAGAACTCCAGGCCAATCCTTCTGATTGCCTTTTGTACACTTCAAAAGTGAATTTTGAAGAGTACGATTAGCTCTCTCTACCATGCCATTAGCCTGAGGATGGTAGGCGCTTGTCACTCTCTGATGGGTTCCCACGAGTTTGTGATATTCATTACTCACTTGATTTACAAACTCGCGTCCCTGATCATTGATTTGGACCTATAAATATGATAAATATCATTATATTATAAAAATTTTATCAACCTTGACTCTGCCATGCCTGCATAACAGTGAATATAAAAAGAGGGTCACTGAATGGGCAGTCTTATCCTTTAAAGATTGTGCTTCGATATATTTGGAAAAATAATCAACAGCAACTGCTATATATTTAAATCCATCAATGCTCTCTGGCAATGAACATAGATCTACCCCTATTTGTGTCCATACCTTAGAAGGAATAGGAATAGACTGCATTTCCAAGCTTGTTTTGTCAAATCGGGAATTGTATCTTTGACATAGGTCACATGATTTGACAAAGTCAATGACATCTTGCCGCATTCCTTGCCACCAATATCTAAATGACATTATTGAAATATATTGTTTTTTAAAGTTTAAACATGTTAAAAGAAATTTGAAATTTCTATCAGTCAGCGTCTACATGAGCGGGGGGGGGGGGGGTAGAAAAAGTTTGCATCCAAATATCCTAAAAGGGGGTAGGCATCAAAATATTTAGAATGTTATCTACTACATTTTTGAATTATATGTGAATAAAGTTTGCTTTAATTATTTATAATATAATAATAGATCTATTATAATAGAGATAGATTACTAAACATCAACGTTACAATCATAATATATTTGTTCATTCATTAAAATAGTAGATCAGCTTGACTCGCCATTTTGTCAACATTTAGGATAGTTATTTTCATATTTACAAATTTCTTGAAATTAAAACAACAAAAATATATAATACAATTTTATGATCCAAATTGATGTTATTTGAAATTATGTTATTTTAAAAAGATTTTTCAATATTTGAAGATATTTGCCATCCATATTTTCCTAAAAAGTATATTAATAATTTATGAATTATAATTGCCTTTTCTTCTTTTATGGAATCTATAAATAATAATAAAAATCTTTTCATAGGTAGATTTTAATCATATTACACCATTTTTAAAACATCTATTTTATTATTAATATATGATTACATCATTAAATTATAGATTTTAATAAATCATCTTTTTAAAATGGATATAAATTTTTTAAATCAGATGCCAAGCAATAAGATAAATTACAAGGTAAAATGCTTGCATACAGGCTGCAACTCCAATAAGATTAGAAAAGACAAAATTAATTTACATTACAAAACAAGACATCCTAATAGTCATGTAAAGTTTGAGGTAATAGCAATTAAAAAAGATAAGGTTTGGAACAAACTTGGTCCAAATGCAAATAATCTCAAAATAACTAATGGAATCAATACTCAATTTAAAAAAAATAAATCAATTGCAACATATTTTCAAAAGGTTAAACTATTTTTTGATTTTTATACATGCTTTTTATATCATATTTAAGTGATCAATATATAATTTTAAACACTTTTAAGGAAATTGACTCTCCATTAGATACTCTTAAGATAAATCTACCACAACCAATACATAATATTATCACACTAAATCAAGATGAAGAAGTTTTCTAAAGAAAACTTATAATATGGAGACTGCATCATTTTTAAGGACAAAGTAGTAATTATTTCAAAATATTAAAAATGACCATTTTTTATATTTAAAATTAATAGCAATCTCATTTAGATGCCCCCTATCCAGAAATTATTCCATTCTTAGATGATGAAACATGGGTATTATAATTTAAAAAAAAAATTTTTTTAAAGAATCTGACAAAGCATTTACAATTTAATAAATTAATATTCTCTTTTCAAAATATAGAAAATCGAAAATATGCCTAGAAGTTCTAATTTAGACAACCCAGAAAAAATATCTGGAAATTTATCAACAATTAAAGAAGTTTATAATTTAAATATTATTTAATAATGTCTTTAAAGGGTAAAAATGATGATATTGATATGCAAGCATTAGAATCAATTTATATAGATAAAGTAATAACCTTAAGCTATCTATACATTTTAAATTATACAGTTACCAAACAAAGCTAAAATAACTCCTTTATCATATGAAGATAATGAAGAAAATATTATTTCTTTATATAGGGAAAAGAATCCTAATGATCCCTTTCATTTTTTTAGATTTAGAATGACAAAAAATATGATTGATTTTTCAATTTGGTCCACTACAACCAAGTTCCAATGAATTTATTTATCCAAAAACTCATAACAGGTTGATTTAATAAATTATTGCTGCAATATTACTTATATATTATTAATTATTCAAGAATTATGTATATATTCATATATTGCTTTTAATGTAGGAGCATGAAAGATGCCTATTATAAAAAAATAAATTATGACAAATCATTTTCTCAGAGAAAATGGCTATCATATAGCTCTATTTTGGATAAAGTATTCTGTATCTTCTGTATTATGTTTGGAAGTCATCAAGCAAGCATGCAATGGACTCATAAAGGTGCAGATAGCTGGAATAATTTAGTCCGGGATATGGAGAGACATGAAACATCCCCTGTTCATGCAGATTGTGAATATGCACATATGGCATGGATTTCTCGGGGGCGTATTGATGACCACATTTTATTCAACCGAGAGGAAATTATAACCCAAAATCGTTATATTATCCATAATATAATTGTTGCTATTGTGTATTTAATATGGGGCAATATTGCTTTTTGGGGAAGCAATTCTCATGATGGTAATTTTTCAAGACTTATAACTTTGATCTCAAAGAATGTTCCAGTATTAAGAGCATATCTAGAGAAAAATATTAGTTCACGAGGAAAAAGTGGTAATAAAATATTAAGGCCACAAATAAACTTCATATCCTATGGCCATGTTAAAAAATTGGCTGAGATAATAAAAATATTGAATGAAATAATTAAACAAATTATGTCAAATTGTGCCTTTAGCTTAATATTAGATGGTACATATGATATTTCAAAAAAGGAATGTGTTGCCTTAATTATAAGGTATATACAAGAATATCCACACCCACACCCAGTAGAAAGAATCATTAATATTTTTACAACTTCTGACACAACAGAAGAAAATATTAAAAATAATGTTCTAACTAAATTAAAGGCATTACATCTTCCACTAGAATACCTGATTGGGAAAAGTATGGATGGTGCTAGTAATATAAGAGGTGTTAATAAGGGAGTACAGGCTTTAATATTTAAAGAAGCTCCTAAAGCTATTTATGTCAGGTGCCATGCTCATAGGCTTAATTTAATTGTTATTCGTATATGTGGATATGGGAATGAAATTAAAAAAACTATAAGAATTTTAGATGAATTATATAATTTTATGAATGGAGTTAAACGCCAGGGTGTTTTTACCAAATTTCAAATGCAAAAAACCAAAAAATCTCTCAAAAGAATAAAAAACACAACAAGGTAAATAAATATAATTTTTTTAAGAATTTTATTTATTTTCAGAAATTGGGCATCATCTTTCAAAGCATTACAAATTTTTTTAGATGTTTATGAATATATAATAGCCTCCTTGACAGAGTTAAGCAATTCCGATGACGCAATCACATTTTCAATTTCTGAGGGATTGCTATCTAGAATAAAACGATATGATTTTATTTTAGGATTATTTATTTTAAGAATAATCTTAAAATGTACACATGAAACTTGCATTGAAATGCAGGCAATTGGAAATGATTTAACAATGATGATTAAATTGATCCAACATACAAAAAATAAATTCCAAAGATTAAGGGGTAAATTATTATTCATGTATTTTAATTACATTTTCTAATTAAGCAAATGGTGATAATATATTAACATCTTTACATACCAATGTTAAAACATTTATGGATAAGAATAATGTTACAACCGATATTTATAATATTAAGTCAATATTTAAATTGGATCAAAAAGAGTTTGATAATTATATTGAACAACAAAAAGAAAAGTTTATGAAAAGTATATTTTAAAATAATATATATTTTTTTAGATATAAAAATGAAAATTTTTACCCAGTGATTAATATGATCATTGAACAATTAAATGAAAGATTTAATTATGAATCATTAAACTTTTTAAATCAGATTTCTATTTTTACTCCTGCGGGATTAGCAGATAATGAGAATATAGAAATTTCCCAGATATCTGAAATTGTGTTTTTATAATTTTGATGCACAGAAAATTATAGATGAATTTTCCAATTTTAGATCATTATACTTAGATTCCTTATCAATCATTTATAGTAAAGATTTAATCAATATAGAAAAAATGATACCTTATATGATGAAAGTTATTAATTTTATTAACAACTTAATTTTAATATATGTTTACAGGTGAAAACATTATAAATGATAAATGACCGAAACAAAAAGATGGCTGAAATATTCATTTATTCTACCATAATCAAGTTCTTTTCCTTATCTTAAAACGTTATATAAATATCTTATAACCCTCCCCACCACCTCATGCTCTGCTGAAAGAGCTATGAGTAAAGTCAAAATTGTTAAAACACGTATTCGAAATAAAATCTCTGATTCTTTTTTAGAAAATTTATTATTAATATCAAGTGAAATTGATATATATGATACATTTAAAACAGAAGATATTATTACAGATTTCGCGTTAACTTCTAAAAGACTATCTAATCTTTTAATTGGATAATCCTTTTTTTTTAATATTAAACAGCAATAAATTTAGACATTTGGCATTATAATTCCCTTTTTTCAATATTTGAATAAATTTGGATTACTAATCCCTTATTAGTTAGTCATTTTTAATTAGTCTTTTTCTACACATATATTTATATTCCTTATGTTATATCTTTATATTCCTTATGTTATATCTTTAACATTATAAAAAATTATTATGTAGCAATTATAATATCCATTTTTTTAAAATATTAAATAGCAATAAATTTAGACATTTTGCATTATAATTCCCTTTTTTATTTGAATAAATTTGGATTACTAGTAGTGTTGTTAAACGGCTCGATTTGAGCCGATTTTTAAAAACGGCTAACTCAACATTATAGCCAGGAAAATATTGCCTAATTTTCGAGATTTCACCAATTGATGTTCAATCCTATATGCTCTTTATGAGCAAAATCTTTAGACTTGCATAATATTTTTCTGGATAAAATATTGAGTTAGCCGTTTTTAAAAATCGGCTCAAATTGAGCCGTTTAACAACACTAATTACTAGTATTAGTTAGTTATTTATAATTAGTCTTTTTCTGCACACATATTTATATTCCTTATGTTATATATATTTTTAACATTAAAAAAATTATAAATAAAATAAAATTATTATGTGGAAATTAAAATATATAATTTTTTAAATTTCGATAATTTTTATACCAATAAATATTCTTCCTGTAATCTATATATCATTATTTCATAAAATATTCAGACATATATTTATAAGATTAAAATTTATTCTATAGTAATAATGCCGCCGAAGGTGGCAAATTTTTTTAGGGGGGTAGGCTGAGGTTTTTGAGAGGGGTTTGCATCCAGTGAAAATCCTGTCATGTAGACGCTGCTATCAGTTAAAAGAAAGAGTATATTGGTACTATGATTTTAAAGTCATAAATTCATTTTGAGAAGTGGTGCAAGCTTTTTGGGCCATATCAGGTTAATGGCCTATATTTAAAAATATTCTATAAATTGAAAGAGATTTTTATATTGAGTACATTCCTGCTTATAAATTGCAAAAAAAAAGATGAGGCAATTACAAATTCATTTTGTAACATAAGTATCAAGCATATAAAAAAATATTTAAATAAAAAAGATGAGCAATTACAAATTCATTTTGTTATAATCATCTATATCTTAAGGTAGTTTTACAACCCTTATTCTGATATTTATATAGATTCTATGTTTTTCACAAAATACAATACTTTAACCAGTTTATAAAATTATGTTAAATAGTGTAAATATACCTTTCAACTAATTTATCATATGTCATGTTGATTCCAAAATGACCTGATAATGACATTTCTGTGATATTTGTGTCACATCCTCCATGGAATGAAACTAAAATATTATGTTGTTGACTAATGAGTGAGATTACCTCAGCATTATGTAGGTGATGGTAGAGTTTGCCATTCTTTAAGGAAAACTTGGCACATTTAACTCTAAGGTTTCTTTTCAACCCATGATCTCCGATATAGGAGGTTGGGTAAGTTTTGGATTTAAGGTAATTATAAACATTGACAATATTGATATTCACTATTTTATATATTTATAATATAATAATGATAATATTTACTTGAAATTTTGAAATTAGGATGTCAATCTATACAAACAAGATTAATAAAATTAAAATTCGATTCAAATTTAATTTGGAAAATCAAAATTAATATCAAAAATTAAATTTATAAGAATTTCAGTAATAAAAAAAAACAGTATGATCATATAACTCTCCCTATCAATTAATATTGTAATTAAGATTTTTGTTATTAATTAACTCCCTCCTTAACACTGTTTATCAAAGGGGGAGTTAATCTATCATAGTTACAACTTAACTCAGAGGTATGTGATAAGGGGAGTTAATTAATCACGCTACACCGGGCCTGAAATTTTATTTTTAAAAAATATCCGGGCCGGGCTATAAATTTTTAAATCTGGGCCGGGCCTAAAAAATTTAAAACCGGGCAGGGCCGTGCAAATGGTACCTCTGCAGGTCTCTGATTTATATATTGTCATAATATTTAATAAATAAATTGTATATTCAAGTTTATGGTGTGCATAAGATCTATTTTTATAGGGATTAGGTGTGGAATAACTAAGTAGTTTTTTTCTTTACAATAGTTAAAAATGAAGGAAAATGAAAAGTGATAACACTATCCCCGGTCTATTTTGAACCTTGGCATATTAATAATACAGAATTTTATTAGATAAGATATCTCGATTTTATAAGACTATACTATATTTGTTATGGTGAAAAATTGAATATAGATAATTTATATTGAAAATTATAAATTAAGAAGAATTAAATAAAATTTCAGAAAATCTTACTAAAATATTTTATTGATAAATGGTTAATTTATATAAAAATTAATCTTAATAAACAAATATATTATGCAATTTGAAATTAATATTTATTAAATTAATATTCTTTTTAGAAAAATGTTAACAACTCTACGTATTACTGATTATTTTCGCTTTACAATGT